AGGCAGGTAACAGGAGAAAATGATCCAAAGTTCCACATAGACACCATTAGAACAAGATGGGGGCTGGGGTGAGGGGAGGGGGGTGCTACAACAGAAAACCTGCTGAAGTACAAGTGTGAGGTGGTGACATCTTGGCGTTGGTTTTACTTGCTGTACTTCTGATAGTTACGGGTTTTGACCAGGGTCTCAGCATCAACTCAGACCATGTGGACCGCGGATGAAATTGCACTGTTGTGTTATGAGCACTATGGAACCCGGCTACCTAAGCAGGGGAAGCCTGAGCCCAACCGAGAGTGGACATTACTAGCAGCAGTGGTAAAGATCCAACCTACAGCTGACCAGGCCTGTGACTACCCTGACAAACAGGTGCAAGGTGAGACTTTCCTCCTTAGAAAGCTTCTGCTCCCTGTCAGGTTATAGGCCTATACCATCACTTGGCAGGGAGCAGACTTGACCCTCTGTAAACTCCAATGTTGGGCATATTCCCCTGCTCTCCACCAGGTGGCATGTTGCTTCAGGAGCCATAGTCCCCAGTTGGGTTGGCCTGTGGGAATCCATCGGAGAATTGTGCAGACTTAGTAAACCTGAGAACTGGGTACCCATTCAAGGTTCTAAATTCTCACTTAAGGCTACTTCTTTTCCTCACAGTGACAAAGGAAGTCGTCGCTATGGGTACAGGAACGAAATGCATAGGCCAGTCCAAAATGAGGAAGAGTGGTAAGCTCAGGAGGGGATATCTAACAGAGTCTTTCTATGGAGCTTTGGAAATCGATTTCCACATTACCTTTTTGCCCCTTGTCAGAGAAGAGGGACCCTGTCACTGAAGTGGCTGACCGTCCAGTTCCCACTAACTGTCACCCAAGTTAGGCAGAATTCATTTAAGAAATGGAAATCAGCAGGATAGAGCTGGACATTCAGCTGTGAACTTAATATAGCTTATGCACTTGTTGATTCTCAGCAGTGAACACCCAAAACATAATGTTTTAAAGCAGTGTTATGTCAATTAAAAGAAAAAAAGAAGACTAGAAATAGATTGTAGAAACCAACGCTACGTTCTGAGTAAATTAAAAGTTGGCCATGGTTTTCACACTCAGACCAGCAGTTCCCTGGGCCTAGCTACTTTGCATCTCAGGAAGCCTTTGAGCTCTGTGTTGGGTAAAGGATTCAGACTCAGTAGCTTTTGAAGCCTCCAGACAGTCTTGAATTATCAAGTGGAGATTTGGGCATCAAAAAAAAAAAAAATGGATTTTGGTGATGGGAAACCCAAGGGGATTGCAACTGAGATAGAAGAATGCAAAAAATATGTAAAAATCAACTATTATAAAATTAAAAAAAAAAACAACAACATGGCAATCCCTTAAAGATCCAGCATCTTCATCACCTTCTTCCAGGTAGCAGGTTCCCCCTGAGTTTGCTCCCACATTCCCTCTCCTCTTGCCTCCTACACTTGAGACTGTTCCAGAACCATTGTGGATTGAATTCAGTCTAATTGTATTGCCATGAGCACGAGTATGAGGCCAGGATAGAAAAAATCTGAATCCTTCTTCTCTAGATAAAGCTTCCCTATGAGTCAGTAGCTCTCAGCTGGGGGTGATTTGCCCACACTCCATTCCCCCCCAGGGAACATTGGGACTGTCTGGAGACATTTTTGGTTCTCGAAACCGTGGAGCAGGAGCATGCCCCTGGCCTCTAGTCAGTAGAGGCTGGGACTGCTGCTAACATGCAGTGTGTGCAAGGATTCTCAGCCCTCCTCAACAAGGAAATGCATTGCCACTAATGATTGTGACACTTCCATGGTCATCTAGGTGCTGGGGAAAATGGCTGTTTGCTGTTGCTAGGAACCAGCATCTATATGTCCTCACCCAGTGTCCTGTCTTTGCCACAGGAGACATCCTCAATGATAGCCATGCTGAGGTCATAGCCAGAAGGAGTTTCCAAAGGTAAATCCACCTCCCCAGAGAGCATGATTCTGCAGGTCTAGGGTAGGGTCATAGATTCTGCATTTCTAATACACTTGGAAGTCATGCTAGTTGCTTCGGTCTGTACACAACCGATGAATAGCGCTACTCTGGACAGTGACTCTCCTGCTTGAGTGTGCATCAGAACACAGGGAGGAGTTGTTAATGCCCAGATTGCTGGGCCCACCCTAGAGGTTCTGATTCAGTGGGTCCTGGGGTGCCGCCTGAGAAGGTGCGTTTCTAATAAATTCCCAGATGACACTGATGCCACTGGTTCAAGAGCCACACTTTAAGAATCACTGACCTAGACTATTCTCATTATTCCTAATAAACTTGCCAGTCTCCTTTTTTCCACAGGGTGTTCATTCGATGATATTTTGTAACCCTCTAGGTACCTTCTCCATCAGCTCCACTTGGCAGCCGCTCTGAAAAAGAAGAGCATCTTTGTCCCTGGAACTCAGAGAGGGCTGTGGAAACTCAAACCTGATCTCTCCTTTGTGTTTTTCTCCAGCCATACACCTTGTATGTAAACCTTTGGATTAGTGTCATGTCATTTCCTCCCTTTTGCTTTTCGTTTTCGTAGATGGTTCTTAAAAAAGAAAAAGAAAAACTATAGCCCATCACAGTGCCTTTTTGTGTGAATAGACATAGTTTACATAACCATTTTTCTACCAAGGAGAAAGATGGATTGAGGAGAGAGGGAAGCCTCATTCATACTTTTATTCAGTGCCCAACCAGACTGGAAATCTTTAAAGCTGAAATTCCTCAAAGTCTTGAAACTAACAATGGGGTTTAGAAGTACTAAGCCCTATAATTCATGCAAATGAAGTCATTTCATCCATCAACTGTTTTCTACTATTGTCAGGCATAGTAGGGCATGCTGTGAATAAGTCTAGCTCCTTTCTTACCCTCACAGAGCCTTTTAGGGGATGTATGTAGTCACGGTCGGGATAAATTTTGATGAGTTGTTAGGGTGCTTGCAGAAGACCAGCCCTAACCTAAGTGGGCATTTATCCTCTGTTTTCCTGTCTTGAAAATTGAGAATAATTTCTACCTTTGTAGACCACTCAGTAAATGATACTTAACTGTCCTTCTCAAAACTTTGAAATAAGCATAAAAGGTCTAAAATTAGCCCATGCAAGTAGAGATAATCATGCTGCAGAAATGACAGCTTTCAAAACTTACTCAAAACTCAAATTAGAAATATTAATATAGCTTAAGAAAGGATAAGTCTATAAGGAAAGAGCTGGTTAAGCATTAAAGGCCTCTATAATGTCTTACAGAGGAAGGGACTGACTCCTGGACTCATAGCCTCATTTATCGCCTTCAGACTCTTTCTTGTGAGTTTGTTGGTGTGAATCAGCCTCTCAAGTTCAGGCATCTATCAAGATCAAACCTCCCATTCTCTGGCGGGCCCCAGAGAATTCTCCAAAGTCAGTGTTACCTTGTGAGGTCTCTGCAAGCCTGCCAGCGGGCCCTGCTGGCAACGCTCCCAGTTCCACATACTTAGTTGCCTTTCCCACACTTAGTTGTTCTAAAGGCTCCATATGTACTGTTCACACACTTCAGAAAAATAACACATTCTAGGTGAGTGATTGAAGTGACCCCCTTCTGAGGGGAAAGCTCTGCTTTTTCCTGTCCTGGCTTTCTTTTGAGTCCCTGTGAGCAGAATGGGCCAGAACTCTCGAAACCAGCATGGGAAATGCCAATTGTGATACTTACTGCAGCTTTTAACTGTGCGAAGATGCACATCAAGCTCCAAGATGGGGTCACTGTGAACAATGCTCACCAAGCTTATTTCGCCGTAAAGTAAGCCATCCACTTATGTTTTCCAAAGCACCTTTCCCAAAATGCACTTGGGGAAACTGCTCATTCTAGACCAGCCTTCTCAACTCAAGGCTGTTTCATTCCCCAGGGGACATTTAGATGTTCAGATTGGGAGTGTTAGTGTGCGCTTGTAGATAGACCAGGAATGCTTCTGAACAACATACACTGTACAGGAGGGTCCCCACAAAGTTCTGTGCCCCACAATGTCAAGAATGCAGAGGTTGAGAAACCCTGGCCTAAATTGGTATTTCCCAAACTTCCAGTGATAAGAATGAACTGGGATCTTTGTAAACTTGTTCAGTTTTCCCAACCCCTCCCCCAAGTTCCACCCTGAGATTTTAACTTCCTGGATTTGGGTAGTGTCTTCAGCAAAAGCCCCAGGGGATTCTTAATAGGAAAGTTTGAGCAAATGTTCTTAATTCATCTCAGTTCAGTTGAGACTAGAACTGTTTATTTAAGGCAGTGGCCCTCACATTTGATCTTGTATCAGAATGACCTAGAGAACTTGTTAGAACAAACTCCTGGCTACCCACCTCCAGAGTTTTTGATTTAGCAGATCTGCTAAGAATTTGCATTTCTAATAATTTACCAAGGGGTGAGGATGTGACCTTTCTGGGGCCTCACTTGAGAACCACTGGTTTAAAGGTTCCTCCTCCTGCAGGTGGGGATGCCTCCATCATCCCAATGCTTGAGTGTGAAGATCAGCCTTGCTGCCCAGTCAGCAGAGATTGGGCCAGTACCCCAGCAGCAGAAGTTGGTGGTGACCTGGAAACTCCTGGAGATAAAAGGAAATGTGAAGATCAAGACAGTTGCATGAACAAAAAGATGAGGCCTGAGCCTGGGACTCCTGCCAGGGAAGCCACCAATGGGGCTCGCCATCAGGACAGTGACCCTGCCCTGCCGAGTGTCAGCGGCTCTGCTGTGCTCACCGCAGAGAGACTGGCTGCCTCTGGTAGTGCTGCCTCTGGTAGTGCCAAAGTGGTGGATGTCTATAGAACTGGAGCCAAGTGTGTGCCCGGAGAAGCAGGAGACTCAGGGCAGCCTGGTGCTTCATATCACCGGGTGGGGCTGCTCCGAGTGAAGCCAGGCCGGGGAGACAGGACCTGCTCCATGTCCTGCAGTGACAAGTTGGCACGGTGGAACGTTCTTGGATGCCAGGGGGCACTGCTGATGCACTTCCTAGAAGAGCCCATCTACCTGTCAGCTGTGGTGATCGGGAAGTGCCCATATAGCCAGGAAGCCATGCAGAGAGCACTGATCAGGAGGTAAAGGGGCAGGGGGGGAGGACCCTGTGAGAGCACCTTTCTGCGGGCAGCCTAGGGCAGGGCAATCAGCCTGTTCACAAAGCTCCTAAAAAACACCCATCCATACGGGCCCAGCAGTTATCCTAAGTGCTCAGTCTTTTGTGCACAGTTATCTTTGTAGCAATCAGACTACAAGTGATTTTTGTTGAAAAGAGTATTGATGGAACTCTACCTGGAAAGATGCTCATGACGTTAAAGAGCAATTTAAAAGTTAAAAATGAGTTCATTTTGTTTTTGAATTGTCTATACATAAAGAAAAATATTAGAATAAACTAGTGTATATGATTATCTCTGAATGCCTCTGGTATTATGGGTAGTTCTTTATGGTCAATATAGTTTCTAAATTTACTACAGTGTACATCTGTTGCTATTGCTATTTTATTTTAAAAAAAACTCAAATACTGGGCTTTTATCTAGCTTCAGTTAGCACATGTTCTCTGGAAGATCATTTAAATGCAGGCTCTCTAAAGTAGTGCAGCCAACTTGTTTAATTCTGTGGTAACTCCTGGCAGGGCATGTCCATGGCCAAGGAAAGCCTGGGGGCCCCTGTCAAATGTACAGCTCCTGCAGACAACTCCAAAATCTCACTCCTGGGTAAAATGAACAACAACAATATGGAAACTTCTACATAAAATGTTTATAGCAGCATTAGTCATAATAGCCAAACAATGAAACAATGCAAATGACCTCCAGTGGGTAAATGTATAGATAAAAGGTGGTTGCTCCATGTCATGGAATATTGCTCAGTCATAAAAAAGGAATGAGTGACATGCTGCAACAGGGATGAACCTCGAAAACATGCTAAGTGAGAGGAGCTGCGTATTATATGATTTCGTGTGTCAAACTAGGCAGTCTCTTGAGACAGAAAGTAGATTAGTGATTGCCAGGGATTGGAGTAGGAAGTGGAGAAAGTTGCTAATAGCTGAGAGGTATCTTTTGGGAGTGATGAAAATAAACACAGGTAATATAATGGTTGCACATTGCTGTAAGTGTACAAGCATTGATTTATACACTTACAATGGGTGAATTTGGGGGTATGTAAGTATCCCGATAAAGATTTTTTAAAAGTAATCCCAGGATAATGCGTGCTTTCCACTATTCTGGAAGTAGTTGCTTTGTGCTCAGTTCTAGACCAGATTAATATCAGCATCTAGTTGGTCTGAAATTAAAAAAAAAAAGCTTATTTTTTAATACAGGATAATTTTGATTTATAGTATATTTGAAGGGTTTTCTAGAAACAGGTGCCAGAGGTAAAATCTCTGTTGATGGTTTTTAGGTCTTTCAAAGCTGATATCAGGAATAAAGTTTGATGTTACGACATTGAGGGCTGGTGACTCAATACATAGAGTTCTCCCTTCAGAAGGATGGCAAGGACCTCCCTGCAGCCACAAGGGTCATATCTATATTCTGTTCTGCCACTACCCCCCCCCAAATAAGTAAATCTACATACACCCCGAGGCCTTAGCCTCCCTCTAAGACTCGGGGTGCTGATTGACACATGCTAGATACACTTTTTCTCTAGGACTACACCTAAGCTGAATGTGTTTTCTCTCACATTTAGGTGTCAGAATGTCTTGGATTTACCCAAAGGTTTTGGAGTTCAAGAAGTGAAAATACAGCAGTCAGATTTACTATTTGAACAAAGCCGCCGCGCAGTGCAGGCGAAAAGGACTGACAGCGAATGCCGACTGGTTCCTTGTGGGGCAGGTAGGAGATCCGGGGCCACTTGTCCCCCTCCTCCATTGTGGCCTGGGAAGAGCTGCGCCTCCCATCCTGAGGAAGTGGTTTTCTGTCCAAGTGATCACTAGTAGGGACTGGGAAGACCCCCACTGGGTCAAGTTACTGCCCTCTTTAGCCTGAGCTGCTTCATCTTCGATACCATTATTTATTTGTGAGGGTTATTTGAGGATTAAATGAGAAGTTATTTCATATGTTTACTGTGTGTGCAGCACATAATAAATGCTCAGTGATCTCAGTGGCTGTTAACTGTTAGGATGTGAATCAAGAACCACCTTATCCTGTTGTACCCTGAGATCAAGCTTCAAGCGTCACAGTCATTCACTCTGATGTGTCCAGTTCTCATGGGTCTCTCTGCAGAAGCAGAGATACATTTTTGTTAAAATACTTCTGGCATTTTCAGAAAATAGATCAGTTTTAACCCCAGAATCTTATCTTGTCATAGCCATCAGCTGGTGTGCAGTTCCTGAACAGCCACTAGATGTCACTGCCAACGGCTTTCCACAAGGAACAACAAAGAAAGGAATTGGAAGCCTCCAGGCCAGGTACAGCATATTGGGCCCAAGGAGATTGTGGCTGTGCACTGAGGCCTTTGATTTCAGGACACTATCAGAATTCCAACAACAGCCCTTATCCTGCTCTTACCATTCCTGAAAACTCTTAATTTACACTCTATCTACATGGTTTTATCTATTCTGAACATTTTTCATGTATTGCAGATTCATAATTATTATTCATAATAATCTTTTGTGTCCAGCTTCTTCCACTTGGCATACTGTTTTTCAAGGTTCATCCACATCAAAGCATATATTAGTCCTTCATTTCTTTTCATAGCATAGTAGTATTCCGTGATGTGGACAGTACCACTTTATTTTTATCCATCAATGAATGTTTGAGTTGTTTTGGCTGTTGTGAATAATACCATGAACATTTATATACACGCTTTTGGGTGGACATGTTTTCACTTTTCTTGGTGTACCTGCAAGTAGAGTCAAGGGTCATATTATAACTTTAATATTAAACTTTTGGAGGAGCTGCTGAATTGTTTTTATTAGCAGCTGTGCCATTTTAAACTGCCACCAGCAACGGGGTATCTGTTACCCTGCATCCTTTACAGCTCTTATGACTCTGTCTTTTTTATTATGGCAGTTCTGATGGATATTAAGTGCTGTCATTATGGATTTGATTCACTTTTCTTTAAAAACTAATGATGTTAGACCTTTGTATATTTTCTTTGGAGAAATACTTATTCAGATCCTGTGGCCATTTTTTAACTTGGCTTATCTTTTTATTATTGAGTTGCAAGTTTCTTTATATATTCCGAATACTAGCCCTTATCAAGAATATTTTGGCAGATATGTCCTCCAATTCTGTGGATTCTTTGAACTTTTTGATTGTGTCCTTGGAAGGACAAAACTTTTATATTTAGATGAAGTCCACTTTATCTTTAGTGATTTGTGCTTATGGTACTTAAAAAACCATTGCCTAATCCAAGTTCACAAAGATAGATTTGGTTTTCTTCTAATAAATTTATCATTGAAAATAAATAAATAAATGTATGGTTGGAGCTCCTCTATTTAGGTCTCAGATAACCATTTGAAGTTAATTTATTGTGTAACCTGTGAGGTAGACATCCAGCTTCATTCTTTTGTATGTGGGTCCAGTAATCCAACACCAATTTTGCAAAAATTATTCTCTCTTTTTGGAGATTTTTGAAAAGAAAACATTCCTTGGGTTCTCACCAAGGATTCCGGTTGATTAGATCAAAGTTGGAGCCCATGGTGATTGGACCGCAAAGAGGGCACTTTCGCATCTTTACTGGCTTTTGCTGAAATGTAGTGTGTATATTCTGCTGACGTCCTTATGTGTGTAGAGGTTCATATATCTGCCTTAGTGGTTCTCCTGCTGAATGCTCAGCTGGCCTCCCCTCCCCTCCCAGGGAGCCAACAAGGGGCCTGCCGTGAGGCCGCTGGCTGTTTATTGTAGGCCTTCCCACAACTTGGGGGGTGGGCGGGCTTTGCTACTCTTAAGTCGCTCTTCCATTTCTTTATTAGGCCCTCCTTAAAAGTTGTAATTGAAGTTTACAGGTTTGTTTTCTTCTTGGCATGTTTATTAGCCTGCCTTAATCCATTAATAACAATTTCTGTCTTTTTAGACTTAAAGCCAGAGTTCAAATGCCTCCATGGCAGACCCAGCCTGAATTCTGGTGGACGAAGTTGTTGAATTGAGTAGTGTTTACGAAATTGGGTGAGGAGGTATAAGGGTCACAGAGATTTGGGGCTCCATTTTTTTTTCCCCAAAGGGCTTCCCGGCTTCAGGCTGCTGTTTGAAGCTCTCAGGGGGCCAATTCATAGCCACAGACCAGGATGTGTGTGTTAAGCAGACCACTAGGGAGAGGAACCACGTGTTTCCTGCTCAACTGTGTCAGCTATACCAGTGGCCCAGCAGCAGTAGCTCATATTCCCCCAACCTGACAATCACTGCAGCTTGCTGCTTCGCTTAGGTCTGAAATGCCCTTTCTCAACCCTTTCACTTTAAAGTTCATCTCAACTTCCACTAACTCCAACTCAAAATTACCATCCTTTTTCCGAATTCCAATAGTGCTCTCCTCAGCTTGTCCCACCCAGTATGTCAGTGTTCCGTGTGAATGGAGGCCATCAAGTCCTCACTCTGGCACTCTCTCCAGTTACCCAGGTGACTTTGGACAAGTCCATTTGTTCACTCGACTTCAGTGTGCTCATGTCTGTAAAATAAGGATATCAGAGTAAATCTAAGGCCCCTAACACACTGGCTGTCAGAGGAAGGCAGTCTCCAAGGTGTGATGAAAAGAGCAGAAACTTTGCAGTTCAGGAGACTGATGTTATCATTCCTGGCTCCTTTTCTCCCTAGTTGTATGAATGCAGGCAAATTACTTTACCTTCTGAACCTCCCTTCCCCCAACAACTGAGCAATAGTGACTAAGAGTCTCTGTCATCCAGGTAATGTGAGAATTGAACAAAGGACTGTTAATTTGACTTCCCCTCCCATCATCAAAGGGAGCTTTCTGTATGTGAAAGGGAGTGACTCAGTTGCCCTTACCTGCTGATGCTAAAGCAGGTTTTCTCACTACTTATTCTTGAATGTGTGCATCCCGGTACCAACTTCTTTAGAACTATAGGGAATATGAAATCAGATTGGGATAGTAAAGACATTTATTACACTTTCTTACATATAGTTCAATAAAGTTTTATCCTTTACTTCATGTAAAGATGTACATGTCTGAGATGTATTCCTTGCCTGTTATATTGGTTATCTATTGCTGTGTAACAAATTACCTCCTAAAACTTAGTGTCTTAAAATGGCAAGCTATGTTTGTTAATATTTCATTATTGACTATTTTCATGAGTCAGAAATTTGGGAATCAAGTGGGTGATTCTGGCTAAGGGCCTGATGAGGTTGTAATTCTTATGTCAGAACCCCATGTTTCACCTGGTATTTCTGATAGGAGCCTAGAACTTAGTAAACAATAAATCCTCTTTGTATTTTTCTGAACAGATCTCGAATCAGCAAAGTGGAATTATTCCAGTCATTCCAGAGTCTGCTAAGAAGTGTTTCGGAGGACCGGTGGCCAGATTCCCTCAGGTGATGCTTTCTTTGATCCAGGTTTTTTCATGTTTAGGAAGAATAGCAGTTTAATTCAGACTAGCAGGAAGCCTTGGCAGGAGTGTTCGCTGAGTAGGCCACTGGGCCTTCCTACCTCATGTTCGGCCTCCTCACAGCTGCACTTGCAGGTACGGCATGACCTAAGGTGTGGAAGATGGGGCTTCGGTGTTACAGTCACAAGAGACCAAAGGTAGAGTTGGGGCCTCGCCTGGTCCAGAATCTCCTCCTGGGCCACCTTCAAATGGGGAGCACTACAGACATGTGTGTGCTGGAGCGTCATATATTTATTCTCTTTTTTCTGTCATTCACACCACCAGTTGTGAACTGCAGCTCCACAATTTAAATGGGACTCCTAACAGAAGTGTCTCAGCCATTCTGGGAGCAGGTGGCTAGATGCAGTTCAGACACTAACAGGCAAGGCTGGGACAGATGGACAGTCAAGCACCCAGCCCTCCACCCTCCATCCTCCTTTAGACTCCAGCACAACTCCGTCCCTCCCAGTCATCACACTTCTGAACAGTGACTGGAGGTTCAGGGTTTCCACTACCCCCTCAGGTTTGATAATTCACTAGAAAAACTTAAAGCATTCAGAAAAGCCCTATATTTTCAGCGACCTTTTATTGTAAAGGAGCAGGAGCAGCTGAAAAGCAGTCAGACAGAGTGAGGTATAGAGGGCCTCAGCCATGGGGGATGCTTCTGTGTCCGCAGGAGCCCCCCCACACACACACACATGGCTGTGTATCACCAACCAGAGAGCTGACCTGAGCTTTGGGGGGGGGGAGGCGGTTACTGATAGGTATGATTGACTGAATTATTTGCCACATGATGTGATTAAACTCAATTTCCCTCACTCCCAAGAGCTCGGACTGATACAGGTGGCTCACTCACTGTGTGGTTGTTCTGGCATGGCCAGCCCCTCCCAGAGCTGCTCAGTCACCTCGCTAAATATCAACCCAGGTGTGAGCTGAGGCATTTCTCTCTCTCGGGGTGTTCTGAGGGTTTAGGGGTTCCCTCCCAGGAACAGGCAACAAAAACCTGTCAAATTCCATATTGAAAATGGAACTGGGTGTGTTTCCATATATTCTGTGCAGCAATAAAAATAAATCTGGAAATTTATCTGGAGAGAATGACTTAAGGGACTCTCATCCTTTAACTAACAGAAATTTATCAAAACCTGTAAGCTGTAAGAAATTTATCAAAACCTGAAATTAGTGTTTGCTATCTTTAGCAGATTTTTTCTGCTGAAGGAGCTAAGAAACGTGTGTCTCCTCAGATCTTGGCAAAGAATGAAAAGGTAGAAGCTGGATAAAATCACATGAATCAGTTTAACATACCTTGCAGTTTCTGACAGTGTAAGATGGCAAGGTCAGCTTATCAGGGCCAGGCCAAGTTGAGAAGAGGGCTCTGAGGTGCCTGACTCACGCTTAGTCAAAGGAAAGTCTTCATCCAAAGAAAAACTTTGTGATACTTATGAGTATCACAAGTACTACTCAGCATGTCAACGGTTCTTCAGCAGTGAGAGATGGCTGAGGGGCTTGGGAGGGGTGTTGGCTGGCAGAACACAGGAGAACATGGATGCAGTAGAGAGAGCAGTGGTTTTCTAGGGAAAAATGGAGCCAAGAAGTTTCGAATGGCCCAATCTTTTGTGGAATTACAGACATGTAGAAAATTTTAAACCGAAAAGTATAAACATTTACTCTTCCTTTTCTGATTCCACCCAGACTGGGCAAAACCAGCATTCTGTTTATTCGTAGTTATTTTAATCCATGCTGCTTTAGAATGAATTCCCTGCAAAGGACACAGAGCATATCTAAAGTCTGCTGTTCCTAAGTCTCACAGTGTGTCCAATTGGCGGATTGCTCTGACGTCGTGTTAGCCCCAAAGGCGAGCAGCTCAGTGAGAAGCTGTGTTTGGTGCTATGTGTGCATTAGGGTGCAGCAGCCCGAGACCTACCAGGAGTACAAGGAGGCTGCATCCACGTACCAGGATGCCTGGAGCACGCTCCGGAATCAGGCCTTTGGATCCTGGATCAGAAACCCACCGGACTATCACCAGTTCAAATGAGAAGGGAACATCTGCAGGCCTTCCTGGCAGTAGGCAGGTTTCCAGTGGTTCATACTGGACAGTCATCTGTGTTGAAGAGGGCTTAACTTTTCTTGTGACTGAATAAGGGGGGAAAAAACTTGTTATCTACCAGACAGCATAACTGTTTTTGTGGAAGATGATGGGATCCAGGACACGGAACAATCTAACTAATGGAAGAGCTCTTAGCGACAATGGCATCTTGCTCATGACCTTGGTATCTACCCTAACTTGTGTTGTATTGCTTCTCTAAAATGTGGAGCAAGATTTAGAGTGTGATGTTTCAAAAGTCCTCAGCAGTAGTTCCATTTTGTGTGACACCCCCCACACTGATTATTTATTGGGGTGAGGTGCAAGTTGGAGAGCTTCAGCTGGCATCCTGGTTTTATCTGCCCAGCCTTTCTTCCCTGCTCTGTGCAGAGGACTTAGTTAAGGTGAACCTTCCTCCTGGCCAGCCCTGGACTGTGTGGAACTAATGCCAAGACCAGCAGGAAATATTCTCTCTCCCCTGAATCCAGAGCCGAAGGGCCACTTAAACCTGGGACTGGCTGTTGCTGTACTAGCTTGACAGTGAAGGCAGCAAGAAGGTGACCTTGTTTGGGTGCTGATAGCTGGACTTCAAATATAGAAGATAAATTCTGTTGTGGTCTTGAGTGACCCTATTTGAGCCCTTCTCTGTGTCTTTCAGCTGCAAGAATTCTGTCTAAAAGGCCAAGACTCCCTGTGGCAAGTCAGCCATGCTGTCTTAACTAACATCCACCATTCAACTCTTAGCCTCTTCACCCTGGTATTATTGCCTGAAAATGGGAACTCTTCACATTGGGGGATTAGTCAGTGTCCTAGTCAGTTCTTGAGCATTTTTTTTAAAAGATTGATTTATTTATGCATACAAAGCTGGGGTACAGGCCACAGGTGCAGGGGCGGTGAGAGGATTCACCAGAGACAGAGCAGGGGAGCAGAACAGGCAGATCGATGAAGTACACTGCTTGCTGAGGAGAGCAGCAGGCGGGTCAGGAGACCCGCTGCTACACCATGTGGTCACCTCCAGGCAGGGATC